TTAGAAATAGAAAATATATTGGAGCTACCAACAAATGTTTAACATTTACTAACTATAAGCCAAAAAGGATACGGCTAAATATAAATTAAAGGTGCATTCACACTTGAACGTTGCGAACAAGTAAAGGAAGAAGTGTGAAAAGTCAAGTCAATCTTATCAATCTTACTAATATTATAAATGCGAATGTTTAGATGGATGGATGTTTGTTTGAAGGTATCTCGCGAACGGCCGCATGAATTTCGCTGAAATTTGATATGTGTAAGACAACACAAAGGTTACTTATTAAGTATCTTTTTAATTTCGGACGGACTCTCGGGCGACAACTAGTTAGTTATACATAGCCATATATATTACAGAACATAGTCTGGAAGAACACATAGGCTACTAGTTAAGTTTTTTTTAATAACGCGCGGACGGACTCACGGTCGACCGCTAGTTTAAAATAAAAACATAAAATGAACTTATAAAATGTCACATGAGATACAAGATGTGACGATTGCCAATCATCTACATAAATAAATTACCATAATTGCACGTTAATGGAACTTATGCATATTAAAATAATGCAGCTCATCAAACGTAAAATTATATACATTTTCCTTGTTGTCTTTGGCATCGTTTCTATCGCGTAAAAGACGGCCAATACCTACTAAAATTATTGCTGATTTACGATGAACTCCATTGAATTGAATTAAAAAGAAATTGTTAAAAGAAACCGTTAATAAGGCTATATCTTCTTCTCTTTAATGTAGACTCGCCTTTATGCAGACGGCCAGTGCACGCCGTTAAATCTATTTCAGTTTAGATCAAACACTGGGAACTTTATAACAAGTTTTATATACATCTTAGATCATTCCCGTGCGAATTGAACAGGCGAGGGGTGCAGGATTTTTCACAAAACGCAATGAAACATTTGGCAAAAGAATCAATTCTCAGTATCGATATGCTATGCGACTTGTCCCGGAGGCTTAATTTAGTCCTTCCGTTCCCACCCTTTTCTTAGGAAAGGATGGGAAGTGGAAGTGGACATTCCGGATGAGAGGATGCATGGAAAGGGAAAATATTTTCTTTCTGTGCATCCCCTCCTCTGTCGATTAAAGGTTGGCAAACATATGCAATCGCGTATCTCTATGGGCAACGTTCACTTCGCTATTTCAGTGATTTTTGGTGGCCACTCGCTCGTTTTCCACCTTATGATATAAAAAAGACATACGACATCTCTTTTCGAGTTATTAAGTTGTTAAGGTGAACAAGAAATATTGCAGCAGATGTGTAACCAAAACCAGTAAAGATAGAAACGTAGTATACAAATATCGATCCTTAACTCGAATCTAAAATAGACGTGCATTTATGCAATCTAACTAAAACTGACTGCATGGATTTGTTGCATTAAATAATGGAGTACTAAAATCGTGACCAATTCTAGGTCGTGACTCGACAGCTCCTAGATTGTGCTTATGGGAGCACTTTAGAATATAAATAACTTATCAAAACAATAGATATAGAACATATATAAGATTCTAACATATAGAAAACGCATTATTTAATTAAATTAATGTTCCATACAAACAATCTCTTTACAAAGACTAGATTGCGTACAAATTTATACTCTCAGCAAGCATCAACCTTTAAAAGATCGAAGCAAATTCTTAGAACTCGTGTGTAATTTGCGCGCCATAACCTCATTTAATGTTTCCTGAAACTAAATTAGGACGTGATTACACTGTGGCTATGGTATTAAGGGCGGGGGGTGGGTGGTATTGTGTGAATCAACCCTTCGCCTTGCAGTGAGTCACGTCCCTGACATTTTCCACGTGTACACTGTGACAGCACCTCCACCGTTGTTTCCTTTAGCTGTTTTACGATTGCGGGTCATGCTATGCACGAGCCGAGTTTCGCTTAATGTAAAACAACACGAAAATTCCGAGACGTGATGAAGTTAAGTCGTTTTGAGAAATTACTTGATAATTAATTACTTTTTAGATATTATAACTAACTTTAATGAGTTTCCAATCAGCCATCAGTTATTTGGTCTAAAAGCTGTTAGACTTCTAGTCTTCATCTCAGAAAAAATAAATTTGAAATAAACACAGAGATATTGGAATAATGGAAATTTATAAAAGCAATTTAAATTCTCATACGAATGTTAAGATCGCTGTTGCTTAGCGTCCCGTCGCTCGAATTAATTTTCATAGCATTTTTATGGCGTCGATGAAAACGCTAATTGCAAATTCAAGTACTGATTTACCGCGACAAACATTGACGATTTGATTCAAAACATTCCAGTAAAATGAACTTGACTGTGACGCTAATTCTTGAATGTTATGGCAAATGAAAAAATATATATACAACTTGCCTAAAGCGACCTGTAAACACCGATTTTTTGTCAAATTTAAAATGTTTATTACATTACTAGCTGTCGCCCGCAACTCCGTCCGCGTTGAATTAAAAGCAAACTTAATTAGATGCCTAAGTATTCTTCCAGACTATGTTCTACATACATGCCAAATTCAAACGAGATCCATACAGCCGTTCTGGAGATACCTTCAAACAAACATCCATCCATCCAAACATTCACATTTATAATATTAGCATGATTAGTAAGATAAATAAAATCTCTATTACCACAACCCTAGATGAACAGTAGATAAATAAACTACGGCTTATAAAAAAATAACAGATAAAATCCCATTTCGCTACATTGAAACGTAGCACATGCTATATTAAGATGCGAACGTTTAGTTGTTACTCGATCAATACTATTGTAAGGGTACGTGTACACGAGACGGAGAGGGGACTACGCGAAAAGGGTGATCCTACTGTTACGGATTGTGTAAAATAAAACATTGCATTACATAAACATAGCCATCAGCTGCAAAATAATTCGTAGTACATATTTAAGGAATAGCTATTTCGTGCTATAACAATTAAAATACAGTATAGACAAGCCTTTATAATCATTATCTGATGGATAAAATTTCAAAGAGTATACATTAAAATTATCTCTCGTTGCTCAACTCTTTGTATCATTTGGATCGATCGATATTTTGTCGTGTAGTGTTTCATTTTTCAGTTAAACAACAAAATAGCTACGTATGTCTAAATATCTTTTCTAAAAAAGAAGTCAATAATAATTTTGCGACTTCGTAGTACATTTTCATCCTTATTCGAACCGACCTGTCCAAGCAAACAGCGCTGATTATGGTTAGGATTAAAAAATACCATTTTTATTGCAATACCGAATTCGATGTAAGTATTATTAAGGTAATAGCTCTTAAAATAAACACAACCAGTGCCGTCTTAATTCGAACGCATAAAGGACGCGGGGTCCAGGGTCTTAGCGGCGCCCGGGCGCCATGCTCTGGGGGGCGTCAGTCAAATGACGTACTTATTTAAGAAAGCACCAGATTGATTTTTGCATCAGGCGCCTAATAAGTTTAAAACGCCCCTAAACAAAATACTTCAAGAGTTCACGACACTTGCTACACAAAATTATGTTCTACGTGCGCATGCTACGGCGTAGCAACAGTATAATAGAAATAATACACTAAAAAATAATCACGGACTACTAACAAATGGTACGCAAGTTTAAGGTAATGGTTAACATTGTGCCAGTACAGTATGACAGTAGCGCTGGCCTGGCATTAACTGTTTTGGCTTAGTGATGCCAGTTACTATTTATATTATGCTAGTTGTATGCCAGTGCTGATTTTGACCACTACTGTCCTGCCCTACTGGCATATTGTATACCAGACAGTAAGTTTGATTTATAAGTTTTGTATTTCAAAGACAGTACAGGTTTACATTAAGAAACATGAGATACAAGTTTTTACAGCAAGAGACAACTCGAAGAGTAAAGATTGAACAGATTTACAATCTCTAAATCTATATGATGCCAAGAAAAGGCAAGCAAAATTATTTATAAATAATTTACACCAAAACAACATTAAATATAACAAAAAAAAAAACATTTACACAATATGACAATTAAATAAGCTGTTTACGAATTTATGTAACCTCTACCATAAACGCAATGCCTAGGTAAAACTACATAACAGATGAATAGTGTACAACAGACATGCATTATAATAAAAATTTTATGACCCATTTGTGGCATCCAGTACATGTAATATGAATAATTCTAGAAAGGTGACAACAAAAGTTTTCAATATAAAGAATAAGAAGAAACTGACTAACTGTTCAATGTACAGTTCAAATGATTACGATTTATAATTTTACAAGCAAATGATTGTTTTTTACATAGATGTGTATATAACGAAAGCATTTTATTAAATTCAATTATTAAAATAATAGATATTATGCATTAAAAGAATGTAAATTCATCTTAATTTACTTTGATGATCATATCTATAATAGATTATGGAGAAATATGGCAGAGTAGCGCTCACCCTTCATGTAGAAAAGGACAAGAAGATGGTGGTGCTATATATATTTTTTAACATATCTATATTCTGTGTTAACTATTTTCTGACTTACTCTTGTAATATGAGGTAAATATGAATAAGACCTCACTCTTCAATATGTATGGTAGAAAAGACTAAGTAATTTATTGGAGAAGTCCTTTGTCATCTTTTGTGGACGGCAACAAATAACTTTTTTTAATAATATAAATGAACTATTTGATATTGAATATAACAATAATTGGACCAAAGAAGTATGAATTCCAATTGGACAAAATATCCATGCAAAATTATAACTCTAATTAAAAAAATATAAAATTACAAAGATATTGAGTTATTTTGAATAGATATTAAGTGGATTATTGACAAATAGAAAAATGAAATTCATTCACAAATAATCCAGGTAAAATTTTAATAATTTTTAGTGAATCAAATTGGTCACTAAAATCCCTCCATTATGGACCTTGATATTGTCAAGATTTTGGTCATGATTTGATAAAGTAAAATTATCTATTTAAAATTGATAATCAAAAAATATCAAAAGGCATGTTAAAATCGGTAAAAAGAATTTGTACTTACGCAATTTCTACGCCTTCTCTCGAATGTAATTCATCTCAAAAGTACAATATCTCGTTATAAATTTAGCCCCAAATTCAGTCCAAAATAGAAAACCAACCACTGAACACAGCAAAAATATGGACAGTCACATAATGTCCCGTGTGTATCCAATAAAACACATTTTCACCCCCAATTTTAACACATTAGCAATAAAGTCGAAGAAATCTATAGAAAAATAATAATATGCGAAATTTTGATAACCATACAATAACACTAAATTATTAGCTGCCACTCAATACTCAGTTTTTCAACACAATGGTCCGGAATACGGAGCTGCACATGTCCAGTGCCACCACCTTTGAATATTTTACACAAAATCAACTCGATTTTAGATTTCACAAAATAAAATGATGTGAATGACATGTATTTTTGACATGCGCACTCCGACCGGCCATTGCAAGGAAAAATAGCGACATCTACATTCTACTTATGTTAAAATTTTGTTCCTTATGTTATTTAAAAGAGGCGCAGCTTACTATCACAGTTCCTAGATGGCTCTTTTTAAAATGACCCACAGCAATTACCAAACCTGGTTAAAACATATTACGATTTACTTTTACACAAAATTTGCATTGGAAAAAACGAACTAAAAATAAATTCAAATACATTTTTTGAAAAAAAAATGTGATGAGAGGAATAAAGAAATGGAAGAAGACAAAACAAAAAAACAAATCAATGAAGTGATGATGATGATGGTGATGATTGTTTTAACGGAGGTCTAGTTTTAGTTTTTTTCTCCTTCCGATCCTTTTTCATTAGAAAAATAGGGAAGGGGCAGTGGATTTGACGGAGGAGGGGAATGCGTAGAAAGGAGAAATAATCAATGTATGCGTCAGCTCCTCCGTCGATTAAAGGTAAGCAATGCATCTGCAATTGCGGATGACTATGGGTATTGGTCGCTTCGCTATTTCGGCAAATCCAGGTCGCCGCTTCTTTGTATGCTGCATACGAAAAAAAGAACTCCAGAACGCCCTCTGTCCGACCAAGACTAACATCGATTTTCCCTCAAATGTCTTTAATAAACTGTTACATATTATTTGTTCGAGTACAATTTTAACATGTATTGTTAGACATCATACGTTTTTTGATAATATCATTGTGTCTAACACGAGTCTGAGAGAACGTAAGCGGCGACGATGAATAGGAATCTCATTTGTCTCGAAAATATTGTTGAAATAACCTTGCTCGGTTACAGCGCCACAGATATACGAAATGTTTAACTCACAATGGATATCTTTATATTATAATTGTTATGGTGTCGATTTAATAGTACATTTAGCGTTATGTTCGCAATGATACCAGACAGGCAGACCTGGTACCACATCATAAAACACCAGATAAAGCAAATTTTATTCCTTTTTCTGCGCCTAGACTGATAAGTGTGATACCTCATTCACTTTCCATATGTAAACTTCCTTCTTGGCCTTCTCAGTACCTAGAGATATGCACAAACTATAAATATGTATAACTAAGTGTGCCGAATACTAAGGGCTGCCGAATATTAGCATAGCTTCACCCAATAAAGGCAAACAGGAGAGTTGTGTTGACCCTAACAAGTAGCTTACTTGAATAGCACTTGTAGATCGTTCCATCTTTACTTTACAATAGAAAATCCGTCTGATTGACTGTCTACCAACCAATAAAACCTGAATACCTACTTAATATATAGGATCGTAATATGTAAACATGCTGGAAAAGGTAATAGTAGTCGCAAGCGACTCCTGTTTACCCATACTATGTTCTGCATCTATGCTAAATTTCAGCTAGACCCACGCAGCCGTTCTGGAGATACCTTCTAACAAACATTCAACCATCTAATCTATCTAAACTTTCCAATAATAGTATTAGTAAGATTAATGAAATTACCACATCCATTGTTTTATATCTCATGCGCGTCAAGTCTAGCGGTCCTTCTAAGAACGTTGGCAGGTACGGGTGACGTCAGTGGTGCTCCGGCGACTCGCCGCGGCCGTCGCAATGTTGCCTCACTTGCCCCTCGTGCCGACGACTGCTGCATTACCTGCATCTCCTCTAGCATGACCTCAACGACCTCTCTCGATACAAAGTATTATAAAACATACATTTGATATGTCCATTTACTTGAACGCAGTTCTAGAAATCGTAGTTCTAAAATAAACACCTTTAGTGGTTTGTATAAAAATCTATGATAAATATTTCCCTCAACGACCAATTAAGGACTCCTAATGTGGCACTTAGAGTTATAGAATTTAATAAAAGTTAGGTTAGGTAGCGTAATTAATCTAGAATATCCTTAGATGGTATAAAATATAAATTAGGTTCCTTAAAAGTTCCGTATTCAAAGTCGTAAAATAACTAGGGACCAACCAACTGAGACGTAGCATTGAATTTTCAAATTTGAAAATGTTTTTGTTACTTTCTAGTATTTAAGTCTACAATAGATAATTCTAGGACATCATATATTGTTATTGAGCAGTAGTTGATAAGCAAATTCCGTTAGCCAACGAGAGTGGTTTCATCATTGGATGACATCATGAGACGGCTCTAGCGACTTTTTGCCGCCAACAGTTGGAACGACTCCACGCGATCATAGTCGAAGAGTTAATTCATGGTTTTTATGCTAAGATTTACTTACCTTGAGCAATGCTTATTGATTCTCAAACTAATATTTCATTAAAGAATTTAAATCAAATTTGGATTCCGTTAAGGTGCAAGAAAAAACTATGCACTATTCCAAGTTACACGTTTACGGGAATATTTTCTCATATCACCTTATTAATAACTTTAACTATTCGTGTCTAGAGTGGGCGTGTTGTTTCATTCTTTTTTAATTATTACGTTCAAAAATTACAGTAAGTACTTAAGTTCAGATAATTGTTATCAAGGCAATAGAACGTTAAATTCAAAATTTACTAAATTAAACATAAAAAGTGATTGTTAACGGTTTTTGTAATAATGTCTCTTAGACTATGTGACATCCGGGTCGCCTGGCCGCCATATGCATTATGTATGTCTTCTCCAACCAGTCAGCTGTTCTCACTTAGTTTAGCAATCTATTGTCACAAAACACGAAATTATATTTATGTTTAGACTACTTAAGTCTCATTGATATGTTGTACAGATTAAAAATATAATTCAATAATATTTTCACAAATGTAAATAAATACTTATAGTCGGAATAACTTTTCCTTAGTGACATTTTCTAGACATTGATCCTTCCTAGTGGAAAAACTTCCTAGGAAACAATTAATTTCTGTATTTGTGGATTTTAACTTAAGCCTTCTTGGGTCAACTTTCAGATTCGGGACAACAGTAACTAAGTAATGAAGTGACAATGTAATCAACTGTTGTTTTGTCGCCATTTTTTTTCTTTCCGTGAATTATCGACGAAATGCAAGGCTGCGCCAGTCACGGCAAATCGACATATATATTTAATGCAATAATTATCTCACCACTAGCCTAGACTAGAGTCGGATAGCACTTAAAGGTTACTTGCCAGTCTAGGTCATTCAAAGATACGTGGGCAGGAAACTGCTGGGTCGACATAAAGTTCTAGATATGGTATTTTGCTGATAGATCGAAGTTTTTAAAGAAAAAAAAATGAAAATAATCTAGGTCGCATCCATATCCTTTCCATGAATACATTAAAATTAACAGCGACGTTTGAATATATTTATATGACTAAAGCTACGTAAATAATACAAAAACTGCCAGTTGGTATCGAAATTAAGAGAAAAAAAGGCATGAACTTCTTCCATAAATTCAAATTAACTTTGTTGTTGTAACATTCCTTAAAGTTCAAAAAGCTAAGTAATCCAACAATTTCCATTGTTGAAACAACCGTGCAGAAACATATTTTATGTTAGTTTTTCAAGTGTTTTAGTAATAGAAGTCCATGGTTAAAACAACTCTATGTTATATAAGCTACAACATTGTTTCAAGGCGTTGTATTTTATATTTTGTAGCACCTCATTGACTTTACACCTACGCGGACAGACATAATATTTCGGGGCCGCGCCGGATGCGATGGAATACCATTCTGTATTTTAAGGGGCATGGGAACAAAAAAGGAATTTGCATGGCATACCGCACCGTTTGCAAAAAGTCGATCGAGATCATTTTGCGGATTTACACGAAGTACTTATAGCATCGGACATTTAATTTGGTACGTCAGGAACGAAAGTGGTCTTGAGTCTGACGTGCCGACTCAAGAACGAGTTACATCGCTTACTTATTGAGGGTACCGTTATTTGATCTGACAAATATTAATCCCTTATTAGTGTACCATTTAGGGAGTGTATTAACTATTCAAATATACGACGAAAGAACATAATGTTAAGGCAAACGAGCAGTGGTTTAATGTCAAAAATCATCGACGAATTTAGCCTTACGATATCCGCAACACCAGAGCAACTGCTGATGAGTTGCCGGCATTAAAATTACCAGTAAGATAATTACTTTAATTACAATATTAAAGACTCTATTATATTTATCTATTAAAAGTTATTACATAGAAATACTCCCGGGTATAGTAAGTGCAATATTAGTAATTAAAGTTTATTATATTTTATACATGATACAGTACAAAAATATAATAATATATACAGGCAATGTGTTGTAATATACGTTTATTAAGGTTTACAAACTTAATGTAAACGCATTGCCTTTTATTGCGTAAACTTTAAGTGCTAACACTATTAAATTTACATTTTACAGTACAATTTCGAAGATTTCACCTTCAAGATATTGTACGAATCGACAATATCGCAATAGTTTGATAGTAAAATTCAATTTAACGTCGACTATAAAATCATAAAAACCCCAACGCATACGAGTAGGTAAGATCTGTCCAAATTAGAATCGACGTAGGTATGTTCGTTTCCATATTATATTTGCATTTGACATTTGTTGGGTGTCGCGCTTAGCTTCGCGACCTTGAACAATGACATTTCGGAGAAGGGAATTGAAGATCCCCAAGACGGATCACAAAACGTTTCACATCTTCTATCAATCCTAATCTTACTAATATTATAAATGAGATTAAATCAATATTTAGATTTTGATAAGATTGATTAATAAGATAATAAGATTGAAGGATGTTTATAAGAAGGTATTAAGGGATCCGGAAAAGCTTAACGGATCATGATAAAATATGGTACCGATGTAGAACAGTTAGATGTGGACAGAGAGACAGTTTACTTATGATTTTTTTTTAATTTCGCGGTTATAAGTAAGGGATAAGTATCTTTATAACTGAATTTTGTCATCGCTATCTTTGCGCCTTTGTCACTGTAACTTTCTACGATCACACACATAATAGGTTTTTTGTCATCTACTGCTCAATCGTTAAGGCGATCAACTAATTGTCAACGGTGGATTAGATCATA